GGACAAGGACGTGGTCGTGGCCGTGATGTCGTTGTTGGGCGTGTGATGAAGTTGGTCATACTTATCGGCATTGTCGGCACTTTCCGGATTGGCGACCTCCATTTCCTGGGTGGAGACCTTGGCGTCAACAACGTCCCGTTGGTGCTGGAAGGTTTGGACACCAAGATGAATCCAAGAAACGAGGAGTCACGCGAGTAATGGAGGGACCTTGCGCGAATAAGTCAGTGACCCCTCCATCTTTCTTTCGGGAATATCATCAAGGGGTTCACTTGGCACCAGTTCATCCAGTGTTTACTTTCCAAGCTCATCTTTAAAACAAGAGGTCTCCTATTATTCTCTCCGTGTTGGTTGATACAAGTTCGAGTTTATCTTCTATTGCTCGACCTATTGCCACACGTTGTCGTCTACACTTGTGTCGTGCAGCAAAACTAGTTTTCATTCTTTATGGCAACGGCCGTACACATGCATGTGCATGGGATGAGGTAGACCTGGTTGTGCGTGTGGGCGATCTCGAGCTTGAGTTGCAGTCGTTGCGGGTGGTGCCGAGTCAAGCTTTTGACCTTATTCTTGGTATGGATTGGTTGCAGTGCAATCATGCCAAGTGTGACTTTGAGGCTTCTCCCCCTTGTCTCATACTTCCTTATGTTTCCTCCATTCCTCTCACATCCGTACCTCTTCGTCCCTCTACTTCTACCTCTGCTTCCATTACTTTTGTTCCCCCACTATTTCCTCCTATGTTTCCATCTTGTTCTGCTCTTCCCTTTTCCGATTTCTCCGACGATCTTTGTGTTGCAGCAATTGACCGGCTCATGAAGGAGTATTCTGATCTCTTTGACTTTGACCTATCGTTTGGAGCCAAGATTGCTACATATCATCCGATTCCAACTGGGGATGCTCATCCAATCAAGGTTCCTGTTCGTCGTCGGTCACCAAAGGAGATCAAGATTTTACATGCAAATGTCCAGGAGATGTTGGAGAAGGGTGTTATTCGGAAGTCGCGAAGTCCTTGGGCATGTGAACCTCATCTTGTGATGAAGCCTGATGGGAGTATTCGTTTCTGCATTGACTATTGTTTGTTAAACGACGTAACGATCCTGAATGTGTACCCTCTTCCTCACACTACTGATCTCTTGGATCGTCTGGGGCGAAGTCGTTGGTTCACCAAGCTAGATCTTGCTTCTGGGTACTGGCAAGTACTGATGGCCGAAGAAGATATTCCTAAGACTGCTTTTCGTACACCATTTGGTTTGTATGAGTTCTTAGTGATGCCATTTGGTTTGAACAATGCTCCAGCAACTTTTCAACGGATGATGGACGAGGGTCTTTGCGATATGCCGGAGGTGACTGCTGACTTCATTGATGATGTCTTGATCCACTCAGAAGGGACGTGGGAGGAGCACGTTCGTGATGTTTGTAAAGTGTTGGATCGGCTACGCGACGTTGGTTTAAAGCTGAAGCGGTCGAAGTGTGTGTTTGGATCCAAGGACACAACTTATCTTGGGTACCGTATTTCTCGTGAGGGTTTGCAAGTTGATCCTGACAAACTTGTGGCTGTTCTAAAGTTCCCTACTCCGAAGTGTGTGAATGATGTGCAGTGTTTCTTGGGCAAGGTGCAGTATCTCGGGCGTTTTGTGGATCATCTTTCTAATCGCACTGCACCATTGCAAGCGTTGCTGAAGTCATCAACATCATCTTTCATCTGGTCTCCTGATTGTGAGCGGGCATTTGGGGATCTCAAAATGTTATTGACAACTCCTCCGGTTTTGGCATATCCTGACTACACTCGACCTTTTATTTTGCGCGTGGATGCTTCTGACATTGGTCTTGGAGGTGTGTTAATGCAAGAGAGCTCGAGTGTGCCTGGTTAGCACCATCTCATTGCATATATATAAGCCGTACATTACAACCAGTGGAGATGAATTACTCCACGACAGAGAAGGAGTGTTTAGCAGCAGTTTGGGGTTTCGAGAAACTTCATGCATATTGTAAACTCCTAAGTTTGGACTTCCCGGGAGGTCACCCAGCCCAGTACTATTCAAACCCAAGGACGCTTAACCCCAAATATCCCAAGACCCTTAACCGATTGGAAAAGGGGGTGCACTCTTGTTCATGGGCCCTTTCCCTCTATATTTGAACCCCATGGATCGTCTCTCGAGTCGTTCCCTTTGGTTGCTTACAATCCACCACGCTTCCCTGCAAGTTCACGCCCTTGTGAACGGAAGCTGAGAGCTGCAGCTCTCCCGAGAGCCCCGCTCTCTTGACACCCTACCCCTCGGGTCGAGCCCAGCGGGAACAAACTGGACCAGCCAGATGTCAATCAACATATGGTGTGATTCCCCTAGCCAACCAACAGAGTCGGACCCGAGACCCCTCTGATACCAAATGTAAGCTCTTGAGTTTGGACTTCCTGGAAGGTCACCCAGCCCAGTACTATTCAAACCCAAGGACGCTTAACTCCAAAATATCCCAAGACCCTTAACCGATTGGAAAAGGGGGTGCACTCTTATTCATGGGCCCTTTCCCTTTATATTTGAACCCCATGGATCGTCTCTCAAGTCGTTCCCTTTGGTTGCTTACAATCCACCACGCTTCCCTGCAAGTTCACGCCCTCGTGAACGGAAGCTGAGAGCCGCAGCTCTCCCGAGAGCCCCGCTCTCTTGACACCCTACCCCTCGGGTCGAGCCCAGCGGGAACAAACTGGACCAGCCAGATGTCAATCAACATGTGGTGTGATGCCCCTAGCCAACCAACAGAGTCGGACCTGAGACCCCTCTGATACCAAATGTAAGCTTCTGAGTTTGGACTTCCTGGGAGGTCACCCAGCCCAGTACTATTCAAACCCAAGGACGCTTAACTCCAACTATCCCAAGACCCTTAACCGATTGGAAAAGGGGGTGCACTCTTGTTCATGGGCCCTTTCCCTCTATATTTGAACCCCATGGATCGTCTCTCGAGTCGTTCCCTTTGGTTGCTTACACATATTTACATGGTTCTCGGATGTTACTTGAAGGTGACCATGCTGCTGTTACTTCGTTATTAAAGCGAAAGAACTTGGTTGGTCGTATTGCTCGGTGGGCTTTGAAGCTTCAGATATATAATTTTGATGTTGTTCACCGCCCAGGGAGTTCTATGGCTGATGCTGATGCCCTTTCTCGAGCTCTTCTTCCTTCTTCATTCTCTTCTCATGTTTTTGACGAGCCTGTTGTTCCAGCATCTGTGGATTTTCTAGACGAGGATTCTGTGCCGTCGGCGGTTGTTATACTTGACGTTCAGTGTCCACAAGATGCAGAGCAAGATCTACCTTCTCTTGATGAGGTTCGCGAGGCTCAAAAGATTGAGCCATGAATTCGAAGGCTTCGAGATGGGTTTGAGAATCCTACATCACTTACTGATGACTTACCTTTCCGGCATTTACATTCTCAATATCGTCTTGAAGGTGGCCTTCTTTGTTTTATGGGGACAGATCCTGATGATCATTTACGGCTGGTGGTGCCTTCTATCTTTATTCCGCGGTTTCTCCATGCCTACCATGATTCTCCTGTTCTAGGTGGGCATATGGGACATCGTTGTGTAATCGAGAAGCTACGTAGGTCTTTCTATTGGCCGGAGATGCGACATGATATTATCCGGTATGTGCGTAGTTGTGTTTGGTGCCAAGCTCGTAATACTCCCCCTCGGACTGCGGAAGGACGGTTGGAGTCAATTGCAGTTTCTCGTCCGTTTGAATTGGTGGCGTTTGATCTTATGGGACCTTCTCCACGGTCAATTGCTGGCAATGAGTATGTTATTATTGCTTCTGACTATTTGACTCGTTGGGTGGAAGTTGGTGCTCTTGCTAGTGCCTCTGCAACTGCTGTTGGATACTTCCTCCTCAATCGAGTGGTGTTCCAACATTCTTGTCCAGAGCGGATTCTTTCGGATAATGGTCCCGCTTTTATGGCTGAGGCGTTTCATGTTTTGACATCTCGGTTGGGGATTCGCCACACTTTCACGAGTGCTTATCATCCACAATCAGACGGTCTGGTGGAATGGCTCGTTCAGACGTTCAAGGGGATGATTGCGAAGTATGTGAACTTTCAGCATTTGGATTGGGATGGTTATTTGCCGTCTCTTCGGTATGCATATGTCATTGGGGTGCAGAGTTCTGTTGGTGCTTCACCATATAAACTCTTATATGGTCATGATCCAATATTACCAACGGAGCTGGGTTTACCTTCGCGATTGCCACAAGCTACAAATGCTAGGTCATGGGATCAATATTTGACGAGCATTTTTCCACTTGTCCGAGCAGAGTCTACCAAATACTTAGGCCACGTACAAGTGGGACAACAACGGTGGTACAACTCCCATCATCGTCCACCTACGGAGTACAAAGTGGATGATTTGGTGTTAGTTTGTTTTCCCCATCTTACGGTACGTGGTTTATTTAAAGGGTTCCTTGCACAGTGGAAAGGACCGTATCGGGTGTTGTGGCAAGTTGGACCACAAGTTTATTAGGTTCGGCATGACGTCTAGCAGGCCGATCCTCCAGAGATTGTGCATGTGTAGTGGTTAAAACGCTTCATACAAAGGGATCAGAAGCAGTTAATACCATCTACAGATCTGCCGATGCCTCCTGATGTTCCTCTAGATCCCGGCCCGTCTACAAGAGAACCCTGATGGTTTTCCATTATCCTGAGAGGGGGGGATGATGTGAGGGCCAAGTGTACGGCTACGATGCCATATACTAATATTAGCGTAGTGGGATTTTGGTAGGCGTCGGATTAGTTTCAATCCGGACCACTCGCTCCTGTATATAAGCTAGGGTTTTTAGGCTAATTGATATGCACATTTCTGTATTCCCTTTCTATATTCCAAGCACTCACATAGTAGTGTTATTTCTACTTATTGATTTAATTGATCAAATAAAAGTTTATAATTATAAACATGTTTGTAATTTATAAATACAAGATTAATCTGAATAAATAACGACTGTTAGATGGTAGAATATCTTTGAATATCCAAGCATATTCTAAATATCCATTACCATCCTCTTTGGTTAAGAAAACCAAAAAAAAAAGAAAAAATGCAAAAATAATAATAATAATCCCGAAATTCTTTCTTAGAGATGCTCGAACTCTCGACCTCAAACCTCAGGAGCTAAGAGTTGACCAACTGCGCCACCATCTTGTACATGTTATAAACTCTCTTAATGAATGATCGACAAAGCACATTTCATTGTTTTACAAACATAAGAAAGACGTGTGGTACGTTGTGTCAAAACTTATACCAACCCATTTACTTCTTTGAAAACAAGACTGCGAACCGGTTTAATGTGTTTTAAAACAAACGTGCGGTACGTTGTCAGAAATCTTCGTGTCGGACCACTTCATGACGGAGCCCTAAACCAGAACAGGGGTGGTGGAAAAGTCTACGTCACAGCCGTATATGTGTTACAAACAAGCTTGCGATATCTTTATTGAAATAAGAAAATGAAAAAAGGTCACGAGTAAGAATGGGATGAGAACTCTCGAAATCAGTAAACTCTCTTAATGATCGACATAGCTTATTGCCGCATTGATGTCCAAAACCCTCTTGAGAGAGAAACAGAGAGAGAAAGGTCATCTTGAGGTGTGAGCGACTTGTGGGTCTTTCTCTCGAATGGATCGGTTCGTCAGTGCCCAGGTAAGAAGAAACGAAGCTGTGATGATTCATGTTTTTCGCCTCCAGGCTCCTTGTCTCTCGGTAGGAGGGCCTCCCTCTCAAGTGGGCTTCTAGTTTCCGGCAAACTAATTGCTCAGGTATGCTCTCGCAATACGTCTTTGTTTGAGCTCAACGAGAATGACTCCGAAGGTTTTTCTTCTTTCTCTTTGTCGTTTCTTCTCAACATTATTTTCTTCTCAGAAGGCGGTGGTAAGTTTTTGAAGCTAGCGGGAGTGACTGGAAGTGCTACTGCTCTTAGCAAAGTCTTGGTAAGTCTTGTTGTATCCCTCTCGTGTTAAAAATGTTTTTCATTCTTTGCAAGATTTCTGAGTTTTTTCTTCACCCCTTCACAGGGATTAGTTCGTGAGCTTGTTCTTGCTGCTGTATTTGGTGTTGGTCCTGTCGTAGATGCGTTCGGGTATGCATCGAGTTCATGGTGCTCTTCGCTAAGTTCGAAAGTTTGTAGATATGCGTCCATTGTACCAGGATTTTTTCTGATAATCCTTGGAGGTATACAGTTTCTAGCTGAAGCATCGAGCAAAATTCACCGTTAATTCTTACAGGAATCAATGGACCAATCCACATAGCAATGGTATCGGCCTTAAGGTATGTTTCGAGTTTCTTGAAGTCATTTTTTTCATCCTCTTTTAGCAAGATCTCAAATGAAAACCGGTTTTTTTCCCCTACGCTTACACCATCCTCTTTTTTATCAGATACCTTTGAGCCTTGGCATTCTCATGTACACATTAGCGGCTTTTCTTATTGATGCAATCACAACAGGGTAAGTTTTCGGCATTCCTTCTGTCGTAGAATCTGAAAAGCTTTCCAAACAGATTGTTATTGAAAACAAGCAGTGGATTGATCACGAGAAGCATGGCTATACTTCAGGTAGCTTCAGAAGAAGAAAAACTCTCAAGTTGCAAAAACCATCCTCTTGATCCAGCTGAGAATCATGGCGCCTTGTGTAACACTGGCGTGCTTGATGGGAATCGGCTGTGGAAGTTTTGACCGAGCTTTCACGTCCAGTTTGTAGCCAAACTTTGGAATGGGTTTCGTGAGCTGATAGCAGCTGAGATTTAGAGGCTTTTCTATCGCA